TATTGGGAAGTAATGCGAGTGCCCTGGAGGGGGAAAAAATCCAATATGTCCGCTATAGCCATGAGGTTTAACATAGGAGTGTATGGGAGGTTTACAGTTTTTCGCTCATATTTCAAAAAATATGCAAATTTTCGGAAAACTGAGGACATCAATCGATTCCTCGTCAAATTTTACATCGGAAATGATTGTCGACTGCAAAAGTGTTAGTGTAAAATTATTCACAATATCGAGTTAAACAGAGAAATTCGACTATGAAACGGGGCTCTCGCTTCGCTTTGACGTGATTTTTATTTGTTTAACTCGATATTGTGAATAATTTTACACTAACACTTTTGCAGTCGACAATCATTTCCGATGTAAAATTTGACGAGGAATCGATTGATGTCCTCAGTTTTCCGAAAATTTGCATATTTTTTGAAATATGAGCGAAAAACTGTAAACCTCCCATACACTCCTATGTTAAACCTCCTGGCTATAGCGGACATATTGGATTTTTTCCCCCTCCAGGGCACTCGCATTACTTCCCAATAGGTAGTTCTACTACCAAAGTTGCGCTCGCTCGGACGGACGCTCGGTTTTTACGGGTTTACCTCTTATGAAAATTTCCTGTAGGATCCCGCGAAATTTCTACAGGAGTCCTATAGGATTCCAGCAGGAATTTCGCGGGATCCTGTAGGGAATTTTGATAAGGGTACCCCTGACACCAAACGCGAATATAGATGTTTCACATCAAAAGTTTTCAGCATGTTAAAAAATGATATCAAACGGCAAGAATCAAGTGTTGTATAAATAAATATCGTTAATGTTTTTTTTTATCAACAAAAACAAAGAGACGTCTCGTATATTGGGTAAAAAATGAAAAAATCATTGTTCAATAATAAATTATTCGCATCATCGTTTGTCAGTCAATAAATATATATCTCAAATACGAGTCCGTCGCATAACAACCCTTTCAATTGCTCTGCCTAGTCCCAAATGAGTATAGGCGTAAACGGACCAGGACCAAAATGGCACTTTTTGAATAGAGAATGGCGTCTAATTGTATGTTTTTTTAATAAAATTCCATTATTGACGCACGTACTCAATTCGTATCGTGTACGATTCTTTCGTTACAATTCTGGTATCTGATTAACGAAACGATTCATTCAATCTATTACGAGCTGCAATGAACAATCACATCAATCATTTATAACAGAGAGGATGACTGGGAATTATTTCAATAAAATTACGAACAGTTGGCTTATTTTCACAATCTCACATGCATATTGCTTACATGGTTTTTTTTTATTTTCTGTAACTTACAAAATTCAATAAGATATTTATCAACAGATCGAGGCTTAATCATTACAATTAGCTAGATACAATTAGCCTAAGCTGGCTCGGCCAGATGACGCATGTACATGTTGAATCGTCGATATGGAAAATCGAACCCGAAAAAAAGGAAATATACAGAGCGACCAGCGTATGTATAAGTTGATATTTATTATTGTATTATATATATAAAAACATCGCGCGAAACTCGAGCAAAGATGCTTGCAACGATCCGGGCTCATCCACTTGTTTTATGGCAAAATTTTTATATCAATTTAGTCTACCGAAAGAACCGCGAGAGCTCGGAATTGTGGTGAGGGCCGAACTCGACGAGGTTTAGTATATTCACGATATTTATATTATATTATGTACGGATGATCGAATCGTCGTGTCGCACGAGTGATCTCGGGTCTCGTGAATTGCGATGCTTCGTCTTCTTACCTCGTGTCATTCGTGTCTGTCATGTGTATGTGTGTATCACCTTATTCGACGATTCTATAGATATAATGAATAATTATTAAAAGTAAAAAAACATTCATCGAAATTCGAGCAGATTCGAATTAAACATCTTTACTATTTATAATAGATTGCTTTGGACTCGACGTTTCGATTAAAAATTTTTCAAAATTTAACAATTACTCGCGATTAAAACTTACTTCTACACATATTTATGTATAAATTTGCCTTACTTCTTATTTTCAAAATATTACATTTTTGATTTTTCAAATCGTATACCGAATTTCTGATTTTTTAAATGCATCAGTGCGCGTAGACACGCTTATAGTTTAAATTAATGAAGGCAATCCGAAATAGATGAAGAATAAAAGTTACAACGCAGCGCGGGATTTTAATTTTTTTCTTTGCTGCTGCTAAATGCGACGGCGACGATAATGGGCACAGAAGTGACATTTTTCATTTTTTTGCTATTTTTTTTGTTACTCAATTTAGTTAAAAGGAAGCTTCGTTGCACAGACCGTTCGGCGAACTATCTGCGTATGTACAAACTATGTTCTAAATCACAAAGCTTACATCCCGCGTATTTTTTATAAGCGCGTCCGATTTTCAATTTTATAAATCAGGGCCTTTACCAAGTATATGTATGACAATAATATAGTCCATCGCTGCGTACGCGTGTTATCATTGCATCGGGTGTAGGACATTTTTTTTATCTTGCAGACGATGATTTTATTTTTCTTCTTAAGCGTTGGACTTGTCGTGATCGGTGAGAGTGGTGACGCCGGAAGTGGTCGACACGGCGTCGCTGGCACCACCGCCACCGCCACCACCCCCGGCTGGGGCGTCTCCGGCGCAGGCGAGCGACGGGAATTTCGCGAACAAAGCTGCTCGGTACTTAGGATGACTGATGCATGGAACAAAAGAGAGAGACCAAAGAAATTTCGAGTCGAGTTTGAAAATCTCGACGCATGTATGCATACCGATCTCGGTATTGTACGATGTGCTCACCTGATACCGTAGACGATCGGATTGTAGACGGAGTTGGCTTTGGCGAACACCGATCCCCAGATGGTGAACAGAGGCGTCAGTCTGGCAAGCTCAAAGATACCGGCCCAGTTGATGACGAGATACGGCGTCCAGGCCATGAACCACAGCGAGATCGTCATGAGAGCAATCTGACAATCAAATAATTCTCATACGTTACAAATAAGACTATGAGTCAACGAGACTGAAGAATTTTATAAAACAGACAACATTTTATGAAAACCCGGTTTATATGTAATTGAAGCATCTCAATTAACTCCTGAACTCGTTTGCTTTGTTTACGGTTCTCGCAGAATCTAAACCTGTGCCGCCTAGCCGTCGACTTTTCAGTATTTCGGTATCTAATGAGAATTCAATTGGAAGCGAAGAGTATTTTTTACGGTCTTCGAAATCAGTTCTTGCTTCTTTACCCCTCGATTTTGGAAATTAATGAGCAGCTAAAAGCAGTAGTTTAAAGTGAAATTCAAACGTGATTCCACAAAAAATTAAAGTTTAAGCAAATGAATATATTCAATTAAAAATCATTCTCAATGAAGAAAAGTTAAAAAAAATTTTCAGAAAATAAATACAACCGATAGAGAAAAAGCGCCTGAAATGGAACTTTACTTCAGACACCATTACTTGCAACTAAAAAGACGTTTGCTTTTAAATGATTTTAAATTGAATACTTTCATTTACTTGAACATTAATTTTTTGTGGAATCACTTCAGTTCTTCACTTCTCCAAAAGAATATAATTTTTGAAAAATGTATTCTATTATATCACATACTTTACGTACACATTCATATTAATACGAATTAATTTGTATTCAAATGAGTTGATAAAGATTTGAGTCTGTGTAAGCATAAACATAAACATTGTACGATACACTGCGATCTATAAGTGCAAGAAGCACGAGTTGAATATGCAGACTTTTTGCATTCCAGAGCACTCGCGAAAGGATCTGTCTCCGAGGAGTCTCTAAAGTTAAAATAATCTCATCCGTCACGTGTATCCATCGTGTAGTAAAAAAGTTAAATTTTAAAAAAGGTATATAAACATCGAACCTTGGCAAGTTTGTTCTCCGTGCTCTGGTCGTTGGCGCTGCCCTGCCTGAGCGAGGCGACGTTCATCTTCTTGGCCTGCTCGCGCATGTTCTTCTCGTGGGCCGACACGGCTTTGATGATGAAGTAGTAGCTGTAGATGATGGTCAGCAGCGGCATCAGCCACACGAACATGCTGTAGGTGACGATGTACGATCTCGACAGCCAGTCCTTGCTCAGGTAATCCGTGCCGCAGGCCGTCAGATTGCCCTCGGGCACGTAGCTGCGGGACGAAAATTCGGCATGTATATGCGGATAATATATTAATAACGAGGCGAAAAATGGCCCACGAATCTTACCGATTCCAGCCGAACATGGGCGCGACCGTCCAGACGCCGGCCATCAACCAGATGCCGAGGATCCGCAGCAGGGCCCCGTTGATGGTGAGCGGCTTGCCCGACAGGCCCTTGACGATGACGTTGTAACGATCGAACGAGATCATGCACATGGTCCAGATGGAGCCGCAGCCGAAGATGGAGCCGCACAACGCGTAGATCTCGCACATGAGCGGCCCGAAGGGCCACGTCTCGTAGTAGCAGGCTATTACCATGGGCGGCGACATGGTGAACATCATGCCGAAGTCGCAGAAGGCCAGATTGATGATGAGAAGATTGCTGGGGGTGCGCAGGGCCTTGGTGCTGCCGAAGATGTACATGACCATGCCGTTGCCGATCACCGAGACGACGCCCAGACAGCCGATGACGAAGCCCAGGATGCCGTACCAGAGGGGGTTCATAGGTGGAAACTGATACCAGTAGGGGTCGATCATGTGATGGATCTCGGGCGGCGCCTTGTCCACCACCGTCTGATTGTTGAAACCGCCTCCGCCGCCGCCGTAGCCACCGCCACCGTAACCACCGCCCCGCTGGGCCATGGCGGTCAGGGCCGAGTACATCGGTCCCACCATGTGTGACGCCATCTCGCTCTAATTTCTGTGATGTGCCTGTGAAAAATCCAGGATCAGTTTCGCAAAACTACGTACGCCAATATTCATTATATATGTACGAGCTTGCGCGACCGATCCTATCCCTCGTTTTATCATTATATATACCATTTGCGTAGTTGCGCTTAATTTTTTTTTTTTTTGCAAAGTCTCTTATTAGTAAGGCTCTAATAGGTATTCCATATTTCGTTATTTCTGGAAAATCTTAACGATAAGTATCTGACCCCGAGCGCCTCTTTAAGACGAACCTTGAGGACAGCGAGAGAGAGAGAGACGCGAAATGTGTTTTGGTATCGATAATACATACAAACGAGGCGTACGCGAGCGAGCGCCGTTCGTGCGCGTCACCAACTCTCTGCTAATACCGTGTTACCTAATTCTCGTTTTACAGGATAATTTTTTAAAAGGTTTCGCTTAAAAGGTTTTAAGTTTTAAATTTTCTTTGCCGTTTTTTTCTTCTTTCTTAGCTGGCAAAATGAACATCTCTTTTTCGTGTGTACATACGTTATTTCGCGCGACGATGTGGCAGCGCGATGACGATATCGTTCTCGGTTCATCGATTTATTACATGTTTGACGCGCGAGAGGGATGTGCTTGCGCGAGGCATTGAAATTTCCGATTGCGAATCGGTTGCAATTTTTACGAGAATAAAACGGTGACTTCTTTTAATTTGGAGGCGATTTCGAATTGAATTGGATTTTGGTGATCAATTATGATTCAAAAAACCGAGATCGGTATCACAGGTTCGTTTTCATGAGCTAACAAAGTTATGACATTAAATTTTGTTCAACAAAAGTGTAATAAAAATAACAACCCTTTTTAGAGTCGACTATCGAGTAAAAAAATTTTCTCTCAAACTGTTCAAAGTTCAAAAAAAAATTCTATTACTAAAAACTATAAAAAATCATTTAAAAATTGAATAGCAAAAGTTAATTAGTTATTTTAAAGTTTCTTTGAAAAACATTCAATTAATTCAAAAAAACGGCATGCGAAATTTTTGAGATACCAACTCAAGTTGCGAGACGAGAATCGATCTGTTCTAGCGCGTATTGAAAATTGATTCGTTATTGCAAAAACCATAAATACCTGATCATTAGTTCCTTAAATTACCATTCAATTTATGTACTTTCAAATTCAATAAAAAACATTTCAAAATAAAAATAAATCTAAATTATTGTTTTAATTTGATCAATTATACGATTACCGCCACGGGATCTTATTTAAAAATATCGTCTAGTTTAGAGATTAATCAACTGGTAAACTCGTACAAAAATTTCTTATTCAGACCAAGAGCAAAATTTTCCGAACTTAATCGAAATTTTTTCGAACTTTAAGCGCAACATCAAACATACTAATTCATTATAAAAAAACACTTGGAGAAAACTATCATGGTATACACTCAAACTGTAATCGAAGTTCCACTCAAGTATCAGTTTTTCACATAACATCACAACGCACCAAAATTTTTAACAAATCAACAAAATAAAAAAAAAAAATAATAAAGAACCACCCTTGCACTTACGTAGCCTGCTTATAAAAAAAAAAAAAAAAATTACAACATCAGCACACACGCAAACACACCTAATGGATTTTGGCGATGGGGAAAAAAAGATCGGCAATGCCCGGTTCAGCAATGCCTCGGGGCTCCTGCTCTCCTCGTGCTAGCTCCTGATCGTGTTCTGTGTGTGTTGTTTTTTCCTTCTTCGTCTCTTCGCGGAGCGGGCGAGCGCTCGACGAGATTCCGTGGCGGACCGACCGACCGATGTGCAGCTCGCGCCTCGGACTGCACCCCTTAATGTACCTTCGGCGGCCTCAAGCCTCTAACTCAAGCTTCTTGCTCAAGTCCGAGTCGTGTGTGTAGGTGTGTGTATATGCAAAAAGAAGAAGAAGAAGCTATTTTGTCCGCGACCCGAGAGCTCTCTCTCTCTCTCTCCCAAGGAGGTGGGGGTGTGTAAGGCGTTAATATGCACAGAAAAGAAAATCAAGAGGGGGTGGGATCGTAGCCAGAAAAATCTAAGACGCACAAACAATCTTAAGTATAAAGGCGCGCACGCCGGGGGTTTATTCAATTAGTACAGATCCGAGGAATACCTTGGTTTACCTTGAGACTTCGCTCGTAGCCCCGAGTCGAGCTCCCTTTGCATGTCTCCAAACATATGCTGCGTACACAGAAGCCGTAAAAACGAGCTCATCGGCCAAGATGTGTTATATACAATGCTGTATGCCCTCAAGAAGATATACTTGTCTTCGCTCGAGTCATTCTAGCTTCGCGATTCATACATACTCTTATGAGCAATTTAATTCCCGACTTTTAACATTCTCGTTTGTCAACACGAGAGATCATGAGTTTCGGGCGGTCATCGTTTTGATCTTTTCTTTTTTTTTTTTTTTTTTCTTCTACCGATNTTTTTTTTTTTTTTTTTTTTGCTTCTACCGATTACACGTGTTGATGAATAGCTTGATCCTTAAAAGTTTCATGACCCTAAAAAAACGTTTCAACATTAAAGTTAATCAGATCAATGACCAATATACAAACAACGAGATGATGATTCATGAATTATCATTGTTTTATAGTATAAAACATAAACAACAAGCAATCAACAAGCTATCAAAAGATAGCTTATTTGAATAATTCGAGTTTGTTCAGTTCAAGGCATTCATTTTTAAAATTTTGAGGAATTTTTGAAAAATAAATGAAATCATCATAAGTATAAAATTTGTTTGTAAATACGCAATAAAATAATTTCACGTTTTCAATATAAATGAATGAATTTGAGATGAAGGTTAAAAATTAATACATTTTCATTTACATTATAAATAAATGTTGGGTTATTCAAATTTGGTAAATTAAATCTTTCCGCCAACAATTTAGATATCTTTTTAATGTTAGATTAAATCATACGTTATTAAATAAAATTTTAAAAATACCCAATTTTCAACCAGCCAAAATAAATAAATTAAAATCAATAAACAAACGCTTTGCGTTTTTATAAAATACCGCGATGTACAGGTGTACATTTTATAGCATCCGATGATACGCCATCACGCGTCATCCTACCTATCATTGCATACCCAATCATCGTACCTATGCTGGAAATATATATCGCGAAAATATAATAAGCTTCTTATGAGCAGAAACCGTACTTAAGCTTAAGAGAAACAAATTTCGATGTAGACAAACCGAGCGCTTCATGTTAACATCACCTTGAGTTTTTTAAGATAAAACGTGTTTGTCATACTTACAACTTTGTGATTTTGATACGCTTGGATAATTTTATAATAACGTTTCTTTTTTTTTTTGAGCATGATCCTGGATCGAGGCATTTGATTAAAAATTGCTTGTAGGTGAAAATGATGCAAATAATTTATACATCATAATGACAAAAAAAGAAATTCTATAGTTTTACTTTGAAAGCTTTTTTTCAAAAAACTACTCGCACAAAACAAACAAATGTAACTTTGCTTCATCATTAAATCAGTGGAATTTTAAATTTGAAGAATTTCACACTTTTAATCAATTTATAATCAATTAATGATTATCACTTCTTCAAGTTCTGAAAATATTACAGAAAAAAGAGTAAACAGTGAGTCTATCATACAAAAACGGTTTTCATTGATTCATAAATTTCAATGGTCCTGAGATATGTAAGTACTTTGGAAACAATGACGGGTCTGTGGTAGTCAGAGTTCAAATCTCAATAACTATCGTAATTCTTTTTTTTTTTTTTAACGAAAAAAAAAAGACAAATCGTGGTACTTTTCTGTATACCCATCATGAAAACATCAAATAATCATGTATGCGTCGTTTTTCCAGATTTTTTATTCGTAAATAACAAACAGTATGAGTCAAACACCCTAAAAATGTTTTCAATACCTTCATTAGTCGATCCTCGGTCAATGGTGTAATCGTTCAAAGCGTAGGTGACATTTTGGAAATTTTAGGCTAAAGTCCACGATGCAACGGGTTCAAATCTCGCGGCGGTCACGCATTTTTACTCGTCTTGAATTTTCAACGTGCAATCCCGCAGTTAATTTATAAATCGCGTGATCTAGCCATATATGATAATTGTGAGCTAGTTCCCGCGAACTATCCAAAAAGATTAGAAAAAATAACGTCTATTCCCGGCTTAGAAGACACACCGGGCGACCGTTGCTTCATAGACTTGCTCCGTAATTTTCATTCATTTATATACGTGCAGCATGGTAGCGACGCACCGTTCCTCTTGACACTTCCAAAACATTTCGCGTTTAACCTAAAACGCAACGTGAATCGCAGTCCCGCAAGACGTAACGAACTTATCATCATGCAATCTAGAAATTGTTAACAATTGATTTTTCAACTGGCTGATTTTGTCGGATTAATCAAGAAAAATGAGTACACTCAAAGAAACCATTATTGAGGAAATTGCTTTGGAGGGCTTAGATGGCATAACGCTCGAAGGTTGCTATATTTTCCATTATATTTCAGTAACATCACTGATCAATTTATTAAACCTTCAATTTATCTATTATTAATTACTCTTTTGACAGCATTATGGCTTCGTTTATCTATGGCATTAAAGCTCACACTCCCATTCAAAAGATTGTTTAAGGAACAAGTTTGGGACAAATGTATAAATGTATCTAAATTTAAATTTTACAAATTAAAAGAGGCAAGAGATAAGCTAGTGATATTTGATAACTATGAACTAGAGTACCTGAATGTCGACTCCAATCAGGTAATTAATTAATTTAATTAATTTTGAATCTTGAATCATTGTTGAAATGTATAATTTTTTTTAATAGAATTTTGAGCAAAAAGACATCTATCCTCACTTTCCTATCAAAGATAAAGGAGTCAGAGGCTCATGTTCAACTTATTCTACTCGAGAAGACATAACTAGTTTGGTAAAAAAATTAAAATTATCTGAAGTAGAAGAAAAATACCCAGAAACTTTGGTAATTGTTGCCGATCAGCCTACACGAGAAAAAGCTCTCTGTACTGAAGGTGTCCAGAACATTAAAGATTTATCACTTACACATTACTGCTTACTGGAAAGAATAGGCCGGGCTCGATGGATTGGTGAAGTAACAATTAAGAAAAATTCGAATATCAAACAAGATGCAAAAGCTATGTTCTATATTAGAAAAACTCTGCAAAATAGAGGATTGATAAAAAAACAAGTTTATTATTCAGGAAATGTTGGCACTCCATATAATGGTCAAAATGTTGGTACTCTCCTACATTTGACAAAATTTTTCAATATTAGAAAACCCAAAGTAATAATGTGGGCTGAACATTTGATAAATTATCTAAAATCTAGACAGAACTGTGCTGCTGAATACAATGAAGTCAAAAATGAGCTTAATTTAGAGTATTCTATAAAAAAATTTTTCAAAATTAATATGTTACAAAAAATTTTTAAAACAGATTTGGTGAGTACTCATATTTTTAAATTGAAATTTACAATAAAAGTTTTTCTTTGCGACTAAATAATATCATAAAATATTTTGCAGAAAGTGCCATATAGATCCTACTATCCTAATTCTGCAGAAAGTGAATGGAGGATAAAAAATAATCCATCGAGAGAAAGAATTTTAAAACTTGTTACTTTAGCTGATCCAAATATTAATGTGAATGATATCTGGAAGACAGAGGAAGATGATGATGATGAGGATGAGCCTTTTCCAGTATTAAATGTATATAAACATAAATATATGGTAGACTTTGTAAAGCAGGCCAACAATAAAGTAATTGTTACGGGTGATAAAGGAATTAGTCAAACAGAACTTGGAAAAGAATTAGGTGTTTCTAAGTTAATAAGTAGAACATTAACTCGAAACTTAGTTAAATCCAATATGGTATCTACATACATGCATGATAGTGGTAGACAACGAACTACTAGATTTGTTTCTAAAAAATTGAAATCTCAAAATACCCATAAATCACAACAACAACAAATTGAAGAGGAAATTTTAAAAATCAAAGAACATGGTCGATTATTGCAAAATAATGTTGTAAAAGAAGTACCAGTTGATGTTAATCCAAAACGTAGTACTCCAGTTAACATTTCAAAAAGTAGTACTGAAAATACTACATTAGAGAAAATAAAGGATAATGACATTTCTGAAAGTAAAATGCCAGTTGTAGAGGCAAAAAATGAAAAAATAATTCTAACTGATTCTAATGATTCCAATGATTATAATGGTTCCAATGATTCTAATGATTCTAATTATTCTAATGATTCTAAAGATTCCAAAGATTTTAATGGACGCAGAGATCACCGACTGTTTACAACAGTCAATCATATATTTAAGAAGTACAAATTATTCTCTAGTCATATGAGATACAAATATACTTCAAAGCAAAAAAGTGTTGGGTTCAGAAATTCTGATTTAAATAATGTTTCTGATGAGTCAAAAGATCTTGATCATGCTTCTGTTACGTCTAATATCTTTAAAAATGAAGATAAAAATTCTCCTAATGATTCTCAAATAATTGAGAGCGATTTATACAGAAATATAGAAACTACACTTATTGTGCAAAAACCAGAATGCAAAAAGAAATCTCAAAAAAATTGTGTAAAGGGCATTATAGAGGATTTACAAAACACAAATGGAAAAAGTCAGACTGGGTTTTCATTAAGATTGCTGCGTAGAGCTAATTTGATATTAGATAGTGTCAAGAAGTACACAATTATTGATGATATTCATAAATTGGTTAAAGTTAGTATATACATTTTTATAAAATATCAAGTTTTTTGGAGTATTATGATATTGTGCACTTGATGTCTAATCAATATTTTTTCACTTTACAGTACATTAGTGCAGAAGAAGAAAAAGAAGGTTTAGAAGAAAAATTAGATAAAAATTCGTTGCTTAGAATTTTACAAAGATTAGATGAGGATAACTTAATCAAAAATATTAAGTTAATAATAAAAAATAAAAAATTATCCAGAGTTAAAGTTATTAATTTTATTTGTGATCCAAGTGTAGATATTAACGACTCTATAATATTATCAGCTGTAGAACAAGCAAAATTGAAATTTTGCATGAGAGGTAGCTACTTATTAAAGTCAATAGAGAATTTCGAAAGAACGTCCAGTTATTCTAGACGGGAGCAAAAACCAAAAGCTATTCATAAAAGTAATGTAAGTATACTTTAAAAAATATTTTTTCTAAAATCATGTTATGTTCTAAAACAACGAATAATCCTTTTATTTAATATTTAATAATTATTTAGATGCATGGGAGACATTTTGGTTATAGTCCTAAATTCATACGAATGAAAGAGATGCACATATTTTTGTATTATCTTGTTCATGACCATCCTGGGATCTGTTATCCTAGAGATGTTTTTCTGGATATATTGAAGAGCGAAAACTTGTCGGTAGATGATGAATTTTTAAATGATGTCAAAAATGTTTATAGCAAGGAAATCGGTTGGAAAATGTTCGTTCCACCTCTACCAGATCATAGAGGTAGTTTATCTTTGTACCATCACCTTAATAATTTATATTTTTATTAAAAGTTTGAGTACTAAAATATATCATTTTTCTACAGGATATCCCAAAGGCTGGTGTCTAATGTCGGATGTGCATTTGAGAATGCCTTTGTCAATGTTTGTGAAATTGCACAACGTCAATTCAGACGCGGATGGTCTGAAAGAATTACTTGACCACCCTATAAAACGACACATGTTGGTGAAAGATGTGCCTACATCTTTGCGAGATATGCTCTACTTCAAACGTCGCTACATATTCAGCATTCACGAGCTCGCTAGTCGCTTGTGTTTCATCGGCCTCTTGCAATTTGGTCCGCAAATGCTGAAAGAAAAAGATCAAGTATTTGTCTATCTGAACCAACACAGTGAACTGCTCGACACAACCTCCTCGGCCGCTGGATATCATCGGGTCGAAGACAAACCTTACCCCGTAACGAAATTCAAATTCAGCTCGATGGCTGTCGTAGAGAGTTACTGGTACGAGATGTGGAACACGTGCATCAACACTTGCCTCGGTGGTCGATCCGTCGTCGAGGGCAAAGATATACTTTTGGAAGATCTGTCGCGTAAACCCGAAATGTTGAGTTCATTGAAATCGCGAGCACCCGGCGAAGCTGAAAAACACGATATTGGCTTTGTACCGGGCGATCGTAAAGGTGCGGCAGGAGTCGATTCGGCTTTCTTTTCTCACCTCAAGCGTAATTGGAATTGGATTCAGACTGGTCCAAAAGAGTACAATGATTCCAAATCACCATCGAGTAGAACATCGAGTTCTCGATCAGTTTTACCGAGACGCACTGTTCCGGTATGTATTAGACGTTCATTTCATGCATTTTATTTTTTTAATTTTTTAAAATGTTTTATAGGCTAAAAAGCGCAGTATTTCGAGTAAGCCAGCAGCACTGAGTATAAAACGCGCGTCAAAGCCTCCAGAGACAAAAGCTCCATTATCCACCAAAAAGGCCGTCAATCTCAAGGAGTTACCAACTATATCGTACAGCAAGCCTCCGAAAATCATACGCACAGTTTTGCCCCGAAAACCGATGCGGAAGCGCGTAAAGTACGATGAAATTGATTACAGAGCTCTGCAGCAAATGGACAAATTGCGCGTCGATTGGGAGCAGCACGAAGATACCATACTGCTCGTTTGCAAAGTTGCCATGGTTTATCTATGCCCGAATCCTCGTCGAAACCTCGTCGCCTATTCGACGATACGCGATATCTTGCGCTCGTACACGTTCAAATCGATGAACAAAACTTCACGAGCTTGCCAGCGGCGATTGCTGTATATGCTGAAGCAACAGAAAACCGTGAATAGCGTTCTTCTGGGCGTTGAAGAGGTACGTAATTTTATCTTTTTAATGACTTGTTTTATTATCCTAGATAATTTATAACTATAAATTCTTTATAGCTGAAGCAAGACCATTATGTTAATAAACGTTTTGGACAACATATCGATCCAGTTCGAGGAGAGAGCGAAGATCCTGGAGAATACGAGAAACGAGTAGCAAAAATTTTCAAGGATCTCGTGGCTTATGTAGCTAGAAAATATTACAATATTTCCAATATGGATCGAAGAGAACCTGTCACTCTTCCCAGGACCGTTCAAGAGTTTAACTTATATTACAAGCTGAAATTGCCAACGAAGACGATGGTAACTCCCGGTGTTTCCAAAGAAGTCCGGGAAGTCATTGATATCCATACGGCGACCATTAATTCTGTAATTCACAGTTCTATGTGCTGCGGAAAAGAAAGACGGTCGTGGGCGTATCAACTATTTAAGGTAGGTTAATTGATTTATATTCATAAACTGAACGCTAAGTGCTCATAGCGAAAAATTGAATTTTTCTAGGTTTACCAGCAATATCCGGAATACCTATTGAGAAATGCGATGCTGAAAATACGCGCGGATCAAATGGTGACTATGAAGAAAAACTACATGTGCGCTTATAAGAAATTTGGCAACTGCATGCCTATGAGTAGTTCGCAGTACCAATTGAGTTCGGCTTATTACTACAAGTTTCAAACCAAATGGCCTTACGAGATTTTCTCCGCGTCGTACAACGTTCACTTCCCGCTGGTCGAACATTATATGAAGAAACTGAAGGATCCGAGTATCGACGGTTTCCAAGCGAAGCAAGGAGAGGCCGGAGTTGTGGCCGCCATTCATGATTACTTCGTTTTTGACAGTGTCGACATCGACATTGCAATTCCCGACCAAGTTATCATGCTTGATCCGGGATTGCAAGAAAAAGATGATGTTTATCAGAGGATAGCAAAGCGATTCGAGACCATATTGGAGAGCCTCAGCAATGTTCCTATTGGTGTCGCAGAAAATAATAAGGAAGTTACGAATGATAGCAGTGTAATAATTCAGGAAATTCGTTCGAGAAAAAGGCCTTTCACAGAGGAGCCAGTAGTCTTATCTAAAGTGCCAAAACTCGACAGCGAATCCAATGGAAATGGATCTTCAGTTGATCGAGTTTCCGATGAACTTTTGGATAAATCTCAATCAAAAGCACTAAAAAGATCTAATCACGAAGATTTATTCGAAGAGTATAATTCAAAAAAGCTAAAATTGATTGATGGACATGAACAAACGACAGAAGAACAAAGCGATCAGTTAATGGAAATTAATGGAATGGATGTAACAAGTTTCTTAGAAAATGAAAAATCACTCGAAGACATAATTCCCGTAGTGAAAGAAATACCACTCGAAGCTACAAGTCCCAAGGAAAATGAAAAACCACTCGAAGATATAAGTCCTAAGGAAAATGAAAAACCACTTGAAAATGTTTCTGTTGGAGAAACAAATGATCAGCAGAAACAACATCCTGAGCGCGACTCAACAAACTCGCCGAACGAGGAGACTCAGAACCAAACGCAAGGGCACCGAATCAGCGATTTGATAAGGCGCGCCAAGGATACAAGTATCGTCAACGACAACTCCAGAGCTCGCGCCATTCTGCCGGACATGAACGACGTTCGCACGAGGCAAACTCGCATAGCAATGCTGCAGATGCGCGAAGAACTGCACGAACTCACGTTCCAGGACAATCACCACGCTCACGAATACTTCGTCGTTAATTCATGCAAGATGTATTACACCCTCAAGTCTACCGACTTGATCGCCGAGGCCAGAATTATCTATCAGGGAATGGAACTTCCGCGCACTTTGGTTCCCCTCGAGACGGATCTGATCAATCGTGTGTTGAACGAGATCAAAAATTCTGCCATCTTTCCGAAAAATCCAACGTCGTACGACAATTTGAAGATCGATGTTGCGCAGCTGAAGCTTTCTTGGAACGACGTTGATAAAATTTGCAAATTTATCAAAGCTAAGAATGAATTCGGTGCAACACTTCACGAAATAGCGGTGAGTTAAAAAACTTATACATACCAGCGGCCCAAAAGTAGAAGTTTTCTTCCGCTGCGCTAAACGGAATATTGCTATTTTCGGGCTACGGGGTATGTAAAATAGCATACCGGCCTAGGGCAGTAATATACTATTTCATAATATTTTTATCACGAAGCTGGTCAAATCATTAAACTATTTTTACTCTTCTAGACAACATTCAGTCACATCGACACGCTATCTAGGATCCTCTCTTTACTCGTGGAAAAACGTATTGTTTTGCGAGCGGGCATCGTCACCGTGCGATATATTTATCATCGCTCTGTCAATCCCTGGATAATACATTCTTACAAAATTCTACGTTTAGAAAGAGAAGCGCATCAAGCTGTACCCGAAGGAAGTGTATACGTCTTAGACGATGGTGAAGACAATTGGAACGAAGATACTAATAAATGTCTGAACGCTGCAAACCTGTTTTACAGTACTGATAAAAATTCTCAGCCTGAAATTGAAACCGGATTGTCAGTGTCGACAGATTTGCCAGATCTACCAAAATCTTCCGTAAGCATGGTTTTGTAAAACAATTTACGAAATATTAATATATTTTGAATAGAAAATAATTATTTTATCTGCTCGTTCAGAAAATGGAAATCGACAAAACTATTGAACATCATTTGAACCAGGAGTTACCAAAGAAAAATGATGTCTCGAAAGAAAATGAAACTGTGGAAAGCAACGATGATGGACAATCGAATGTAATATATAATTATCAATAATTTTTTTAAACGAATTATTAATATATTATAAATAATTTATTTTTCAATAACTTATAGGCTACTAATTCTGAGAACAAAGATTCAACTGATAATCACAAAAAAATGCGTCGTAATAGAACTATTCTATTGAAGCAAAATGAAATTTATCGAGCTGCGAAACTACTAGACTTTAAGTGAGTAAATTTAAATTGAATAATTTTGAAATGTGTATTTTATAATAATTTTTCGTTGCATGAATATTTTAGCACTGCCGAAGAAATAAAAGTAGTTATAAAACCTTGGATAAGAATAGATGGAGTTGTCAACCGAAGGGTTTTAGATCGAATGCTTGGAGCTATTCTCTGCTACTGTATGGAAAAACCTGGATTGCCACTTTCTGAAGTACAAAATCGATTTTCACCTGCGATTCAACCCTATCATACCAGAGAACTAATAGAGGTAATAATTAAAATTATTGAATTAAAAGTACAGATACTAATTTTATTTTTAATTCAGATTTTGATAAAACTGAAATGCCTAGAGACATATGTGCAACGGAAATCCAAAGTGACATTATTTTCAAAGCCTGCCAGAGTTGATACAAGTATGCATTTTACATATTATTACTAAATCTTTTCAATTATTTTTATCATTTAATTTAACTAAATGATTTTTTTAGGTGGAAATCCAGATTTGACAGCTGATAGCAATACAATCTTTGTAGAGCCAGCATTGCAAGCAACCCTGAAGTTTGGCATGTTTTTAAGTAATCGATCGTATAGTTTAGATTTTTTGTCGAATTTATGAATTAAGCAATTTTCAATTCTGTTTGTTGAGAGTTTTCGTGTTCGTGTTATCCAATTTTTTCAAGAAATTTTATTCATTTGTTTCTTATTTAATTAAATTTTTATAACAAAATTATGCTTAATATGTACGAAGAACATTGGAATTATTTTATGAGAAATAGTTTGAGTATTAAAAACATTTTTTATTTTCAGAACATTCAGGTTTACATACTGTTTTTTTTTATCGTGATTTTAGATTAATTAACTAGGACAATGCTCAACTATACGTACTGATCTTACTATAAAATTATTAATTGCGAATTCAGTTATAAAAGAAATTGTTCGTATTAAAATACATATTTGTAATTGTAAATTATGTAAAAATGAATACGTTTGTATATATTTATGTAATATGTACCAGCATTTTTAATTTGCGTAGCATAAATAAATAAATGATTTTTTATTACCAATTTTAAAATTATTACTAAACTATAATTAAAAATAATTACACACCATAATTTTTTCTCAATTTTCGGCATGTATTCTAAAATTTAATAAAAGGAGTTGAACTATGACTTTTCGCATCCTCTAGGCAGGATCAGAAAAATCTTGAAAAAAATTTTGACTTACTACTGAATTTATTGATAATTGTGATATAAGAAGTAAAAAACGAACTCATGATTACACGGATTTGTGATGAAATCATCTTTTTAAATTACAACTAGTACAATATCTTTTTCAAGTCCGTTGTAACAAGATTTACAATTTCCTTACTTCTTCTCCATCTAACAAAATTAAATATTAACGTTGTTGTAATCTTGATGATGGACTTTTTTCATTTAGTACTTTATACTGTAATTTTCGAATTGAATGTTTAACAATGATTATAACTATTTTCTATCAATAAATAAATTTTTTTAAATAACTTGATTTATCGTTTATTAGCCCATATCTCTTATTTTTAATTTGTAACAAAATTTTCAAAAATATGAAGTAAATCCTCGTAAGATAATTGATATTGATAAAATAAGAATAGTGCTACAAATCATGGATTTCAAACAGAGTTTGGAGATTAATTATAATACAGCTGAAAATATGAGCGATGCTCTATAAAACATTTGTATAGTATGTAGTTATTATTTGCCAGTAACATGCACAGACGTTTACATACTTTTTGCTAATTACGCAGTAGAAATCTCTTTTGCCACATTTACCAGTGGCGACATCGATTTTGCAAGTGCAAGACTGTATCAGCATTATAAAATAATGATTAAAAAAGCATCCAATCAGATAAATAATACGATTTCGTCTATTTCTTGCTTAATGCAACCTCAAATAAAAATATATCAAAATAAAATTATATCTTGTGTAATTTGATTCAAAATTTTATTTTATACGGAAATTTTTTGTACGAATCAATTCAACAAATATCACTAAAATAAAACAATTTTCTCAACAAAAAATTACTCTCATGTACATAATCATTTATAATCCAACTAAACAGTATCATGTTCAATAAAATATGAAATATAAATGCCTCAATTGACTTGGCCAACTTGCTTTTCGAACATTTTTTGACATAGAGATTCTCACAAAATGTAATTTATCTGATTTGTAGTTTCAATTCATCCAAAGTATTTTGAATTTGGTACCTAGCAAGCACACGAATCTCCTTTTCCATTATTTCTTTGATCGTTCGTCAATTTAATTTGGTCCGGAAATTCATTATAAAGTTCAACCTAGAAAAATTTTTATTTTATTCTCTTTTTCGTTTATATATTTTTTCTTTATAAAGTTTTCAAGTTTGATATTTTTATCTCATTCACATAATTTTTTCAAATCATAATAAAAAATGACTTACTTCACTTTCTTGGGCCAATGCATTTTTAGCTATTGTTTGGAAAGCCTGCTCTACATTAATTGCCTCTTTTGCACTGGTTTCAAAATATGGGATACTATTTTTTGATTGACACCACTGTTGAGCTCTTTTGCTTGAAACCTGAAATACAATTTATTTCTAACTTAAGAATATTCTCAATTGCATGTTTTTTTTAATGATTTTAACTTCAGGTTCTGATATACTTGATTAAAAAATGCAATATAACGAACTAATCATTAATTTGAAATTAAATCAATCTAAATATCCTCTCACCGCTCTATTTTCTACATCAACTTTATTTCCAAGTACAACGAATGGAAAATTGTCTGGGTCTCTTGGCGATGCTTGGATCAAAAATTCATCTCTCCATGATTCCAAAGACTTGAAGGTATTGGGTGCAGCTACATCAAATACTAAAACACAGCAGTCTGCACCTCTGTAAAAAGCTACTCCTAAAGATTGAAATCTTTCTTGTCCTGCAGTGTCCCAAATCTGTAAAAATTAAATTAAATGCATTAAAGAACAGGATTAAGTGTCATACCTATCAATAAGAATACAATTTTTCCATCACTCTTTCAATAGTTTTTGTTGGAAATAAAATTAAAAATAAAATCAATGAGAAAATTACAAATCAACAGCAAATAGAAGTTGTATTTTTGTATAAGAAATTGTAGCATTATTTACCTGCATCGTCACTATTCTATCATCGACCATGACTTCCTTAGTTAGAAAGTCAGCTCCTATGGTAGCCTTATATTGATTACTGAATTTCTTATTGACATATTGATTCATCAAAGATGTTTTACCAACTCCTGAATCTCCCAAAATGATGACTTTCAGTAAAACTTTCTTGCGAGATGCCATTTTTCAGCTGTAAAAAAATTTAATTAGTATGCTTATTTTTTTTAGTATAAAATAATGAAAAAAATACAATGAGAAGAGCAGTAAAGTACCAATATCAATGTGAGTTGAGAAGCAGATGTAAAAATGGTTGAAAAGAGAAGCCAGAGAATATATTATCCAATCTGATCAATTACTCATACTTCAGTAAGTAGATGTTAGATTTTTTTTCAATGTATCTAAAAATGAGATGAGATTGTTGAAATCATACGTTTTAGGAAACAATGTATCATGATTTTAGTAGTTGACAGTTTTTTTTTCAAGAAAATTCATCGTAAGATCGCACACAGTTGAAATTCCCACGAAAGCGGCAATAAAGAAAAAGTAAAATACGATGACAGCCACATCAACGTTGCCGCGAGTGCAGCTGCAATTAGCAACAGTGGATAAACCACGTAAAAAATTGTTCGATAATTGTCGAAAGTAAGAATACAAAAAAATAGACGTACGCATGGTCGAACAACGCTATTGTATTACATATCGTTTTTTAAATAAAATTTCACCCAAAGAAGTCACTCTCGGTGTAATCAGTAATAACAACTCTGCAGTTTATTCGCGTGAATCATATGAGTGTATAAGATCGGCTTGTCACAGAGACGGAAAACTACCACATACACGCAAGTACACGCACACGCTGTCTCTCTCACTCTTGTTCTCTCTCTTGTATCACTCCTTCTCTGTCCAACTCCCCGCAGCATTAGAGACGTGTTGACGTCGAATTATAATATGCGCAAGGCGTAAAGGCCCACTCCGAAAAAAGTTAGCCACGATGTCAAAATGTTTTGTACCCGTATAGAAAGTAGAGATGGTGCAATCGGCGATCGTAAAAATGTCATTCATGCCGTTGGCATTCGGGTTTTCTTAACTTTATAACGTACTTCGAGACCCGCAGTGCACGAGTGTTTATTGTCGTCGCGATGCGACATGTAACCGCGATAGGACTCAATTTTAATACTGCACAAAAACGATCGAATGACCGACTGTCCATAATACATACATACACATATACTTTTGCGACTCGGCGCGCTGGACACAATATGCTGTTGTGTACTTGCGGGGCAGTATAGCATATATAGGTATATATATTGAGTTTCTCGTTATCTATACGTAGCGTTACAATAACGTATATATATGCGTATAATCGAAGAGATTCGCTCGAGAGCAGCAGTAACGTCGATGGCAACTTGTGTATACATGAAGGCGTCTGTGGGTGGCATGAGTACATACGCAGATTATCGTGATTCTATCGTCGCGAGCTCAACATGACTAATGTTGCACAAATCGTCCGATCATTTAGAACACTGACGCGTGCTGGGAAAAAAAGTCACTTCATTCTGAACGAGGAGAGAGAGAGAGAGAGAGAGAAAGAGAGACAGAGATAGCGAGAGAGGGACAAAAAGAATCAGGAAACGGACTTATTTAACGCGCTTTTGCCTGCATCAGAGACGAAGCGACAAAAACAAAGAGAGGCACGCAATATTCGGAGCGAAGTACAATAACTGCGCGTTTTTTTTCCACTCCACAAGGCTTCGATAGTTAGATGAAAGTTAGCTCGTGGCAGATTACATAGTGGCAATAGCACAGCAGCATTGAAGCATCAGATTATCGTACGAGATAGGTACTGATACGAGAAAAAAAAAGTACCAACACTCTTTGACACTGTGTGATATATGCTGGCAGATCTTATGACCTAATGACGAAAGTGTATTATTAAAAAAAAAAATGAAACGATTCCGTTGGCTGGCGACAGTTCGCACGTATCCGTAAGATAGTACTTACATGAGACTAAAGTTTATTGAATACTGTACTCGACGACGACTCCAAAACACTGATCTTTTGTACGTTGCTCTGTAATGCTGTATAACAGCTCTCGCTGGTATATACGTTGTGCTAACGGGGGATACACTGGACTATCACCTATGATACCACCACGTCTTGGTGTATAATATTGCGTTCGAGTATTAAATGTATATAACACACTTATAACACACAACAGCAGCAGCAAGCAGCACAGCACTGAGCACGGAGTCTTTTGCGCTCTTTCTCTTTTTCAGTAACTCCGCGAATGAATCCTACTGCTGCGCATACACGAAGAAAATGGCTGCTAGGCTATATATACTATATATACCATACTGCTTGTGTTGTGTTGTGTTTGCACGCAGACACACTCACACGCACTCATACACGTTTCGCGAGATCGAATGGAGAGATATACATATATAAATCGCACTCGCTCGCGGCGCAATAATTATGAATCGGCGTGTGAGTGAGAATAATTCGATTGATGTGTCTCTCGAATTTACATCGATGAATGCAGTGAAATTATTGGAAAAAACTCACGCGAAAGTGCTCCAAGTGTCACCATTCGAATGCAAAACGAACGCGAGAAATAATTGTAAACGGAGGTTGGTCGCGCGTACTTGTAATAATATTCGTTTACTACACCGTGCCCATACATCGTTTATATGCAGAGCGGCGATTTTGATACGCATAAATTAAACGCGTTATTATTACGAATGCAAACTCGACAACTTTTTGCCTTTTATAACTGAACTGCGTTTACGTAAATACCGCGTACTTATAAGGTATGTATCACAAGTAATCGCGGAGTCAGAAAAAAAGAGTTACTACGATAAACATTATTCTACCAGTTTTGATTTTAGAATATCAAAACGTTTAAAAATATCAAACTCGACTGATTTCATCCGTTTTGTTTATTTTTTTTTCATCTGAAATCTGAACGGAGACCTTTAAAAACGTATTTTAAATCTTGCGCAAGCGCAGATCTACACCCGGATTTACACGACAGGATTCCCCCTCTACACCACCTTATTCCAAACTAATAACTATAGATATTCATTCGGTTCATTTGTGTATACATTTTCGTCGATGTCAGGCTCACGTTATATTCGTATTTGTATCTAAAAGTAGACGGATAGACTACTTATTGTTATATGTTTTTACATCTGCAGTCTGTGATCATTTACATCATTTTTAGTACTCACGTTTTTAAGGCTGAACTTTTATTTTCGATAAAACTGACACTGCCTTGAAACATTGTTATCATCATAAACTTTTGTGTGTTTTAAAGTGACCTATGGATTCTAAAAAAACGTGTGTATAAAACTGTCAAAGTCATTGAATAGGTTAATATGTATGATAAACAAAAACAGTAATAATGGATTTGAGTAATAATAACTAGTTTTAGCTAAACAATCGAAATTTTGTTATAAAAATACTTCAATTTTTACTAACGATTTTTTTACACTTTTTTGTACCTTTGGGAATTATAAAAAATTTATAGTTATACATAATTTATAGTAAACTTCTGTTTTATCTCCTTAACATATTTATCACGTAAAATTGTAACTACCTGTACATTTTAAAAGTAAATGCTTGAAGTTATTCTGTGTAGAGTTAAATTATATTTTGCTATATAAATTTCATACATCAATTTATTAAAAAATATTGTTTTTTTAAATATATTTAGATATCTTAAAAATCAGCAATGGAAAAAGAAATATAAGAAAAAAGCTTGTGGATCAGTTGAACAAAAATCAACAAAACCAATTATAAATAAAGAATCTAAAAAAGAAGAAGAAGAAGAAGAAGCAGATCAAGCAGACTTGGTTCCTAAACAAGTTTTACCATTAAACGGATGGTTTCCAGAGTTTGATGATTCATCAACCTCAAGTGATGATGATTTTGAATCGCTAGTCACATCATTAAATCTCTCTAAACCAAAAGATTCCAATACAGGCAAAAATTGGTTTGATCAAGAATTAGATGTGAGTAGTATTGAATTTTTTTACCAATTAAATTACAGCAATTATGCATTATAATTATGAATTACAGAATGTCCAACTGAATTCTCAAGTATTTAATTTAAAACTTAATGATCAATCCAACCAAAATATAATAGCTGTTCCAAAGCAAGAAAACATAGTGAAAAATGAAGATAAGATGAAATTAAAATTAGATAAGGTTTCCAATGAGGATGAGGATTTAGATTATTTACTATCATTGAAAGCACCTGTACAGACCGTTATAGCCCCAGTCACTACTAAGAAAAAATTGAGTCTAGGTACTCGTAGAAATATAATTTTGTCAAAATTTAATATTCTAATTTTTATACAATTGATAAAATACAATACCAATTTATTATATTACAGACAGAAAAGTGAACTCTCTAGGAGTAGGTACAAGTAAAAATAAAGATATTAAATCTACAGACTTGGAAAAATGGCTGGACTCTGTTTTAGATGATTAAATCATAATGAAGCTGTTTGCAGCAAGTTATGGAATATATCTTCATAACAAGTGTAGTAAGTAAAATTTTTTTATTTACATCAGATTAAATTCATGTATAAGAAAAACATTGAATGTATAAAAAATTAATCTATTATAAATAATATAAAAATAAATTTGTCAATTAAGCACTGACACTAAATATTCATGCATATAGTCATAAACTACCAGCATAATGGCACCTCCTGGACCAAGTCTTATTACTTTTGGCAGAAGACCTTTGTATAAAGCTCTAAATCTGTAAACAATTCTTGTTTAAAATTATTACTTAAATTCATATATGACTGATAAATTTTATATATACCCTTCAGTTGCGTAAACAATTTGAATAGTTTTCAAAGTTCCTTTATATTTATGCCCTTCTGGACCTTGAATTCTGCTTTTAGCAACATCAAATGGAATATTTAAACAAGATGCAAGACTTCCAGAACAAAATCCTAATCCCGCCTGTAAGAAATTTTCATTTTCCATTAATTTTCATTTTATTTTCAAAAGCATAGTTTTTATAACGCTTAGTACTTTTGTTAAAAAGTCTGTCATAAAGTCTTGACTCTGAGGAATATATGCTTTTGTAGAATGATAGAAGCCAAAATAAAAGCCATTAAAAAGACCATTTCTCATTAAGGTTGCAGTAAGCCCTTTATTCAAACCATTTAGACCAAAACCATGTTTTCGGATAATTTCTTTTGTTACAGCCATTGTAGATGGTGTGTTTTTTATATGTTTACGATCTGATTGTAATTGCACTTTAATAACCTCAAATGGATTAACTAGAAGTCCCTCCGTAAATCCAGCACTTAATCCAGCACACATAAATGTCTTAAAGAAATTAATGCAGTTAACATCTTTAAACTTTTTCAATTCTATTTAAAATTATTTTTAAAAGGTGTCATATTACCACTGGTGTAGGTGTTGTTGAACCAAATAAGAAAAACTGCTTGTATTGTTCAAAAGTAAAAAACTAAACACCAAAAATAGAACGCATTTAGTAATTTTAGTTAATTTTGATGGAGTTAATAGTTGTATATTACTTGGTAATAAACAACATACTTTTACTGCACGCTTAGGTGTTTCGACTAAAATTGGTGGTACAATTCCTTTCCAATAAGCAAAAAAACCTTCATTTCTATACATTTTCTTTAAGCAGTCCCAAATACCTATTGATAAAATTATATGAGTTATTTATGTTGGGTAAAAATAAACATAATTAATTTTATTAGAAAATTATGATTTTACCTGTATAATAAGTAGGATCAGATTTGTTTGTCTTCACTTGTATTTGGAAACGAGTTTTAACTAAATCCATTGGATGCATTATACAAACTTCAACAAATCCAGCAGATCCTCCAGATCCTATTTGTATAACAGCTTCTTTAGCCCAGCTTCTTTTTGAAGGCATTGTTGATTCTTTTGGTGCCATTGTATCACAATTTATTTCAAACAATCTGTTTTAAAGACTTATTTCAAATTTTAAATATTGATATTTATATAGAACTTTTGAAATTGAATTGTTAGAAAAATTGTGTCATGTGAGTACTTACTAACCAACACACCGGAAGTCTAAGTAAATGATCAATGGTGTGTAAGGAATGCTTGCATCATAATGCTATTTTTCTGGTAATTCAAAGTTGATCTGAAATTAATGTTAAAATCTTAATCATTTATTCTATAAATAAAACGATTTGATGAGTTAACAGTTGATGATAAAATCAACTGTTAAATTTGTGATTCGAAACATGAATATTTTCAAAGAATCAACAGATGATGTTGATTTTAGGAAATATTTTCGCGTTCGGCGGACATGAAAGATTACTATCTCACGAAAAAATCATGTTATTTATAGTTAAAAGTTTAAAGAAAAGTAATTATTTCTAAAAGTTATAAAGCTCGATTGCCTTTCAACTTTTCTTTTCATCTCTCGTTTTCGCAGAGATCAAATATCGGAGTTCACCACAACTTTTACACTTATAACGTAATTAATGATTCTTATCATTCGATACCTAAACAGTAGGAAGCGTCGCTATTTCTTTGGATTAACTTTCTGGCACACATGTTGCTTGCGATATCTCACGTACACACAGTCGAGCTTTCAAGCTTAACTGCGTCTGTGCAAGTCCTCGAGTGCACATAACCATCTCTCTCATATACTGATATCGCATGCAGCTTCTTTGCATCTCATTGAAAAAAAAAGATCACCATTTTTCGCATTATCGATGAATTTTACTCTATCGCGTTTGAATAACAATATGATTACGATTTTGTTACATAATTGGACAATTGAGTCTTGTGTTGTTGAACGATTAAAGCCGGTTTTTGATGATAGAGAATGACATGTAAAATCCGTGAGATACGCGGAGCTATTTTAGCTTTAATACGTATATTTCGTCCTTATTATAAAAAAACGATAAGTCATCTCTTGGTAATCAGATCTCCGATTGGCTTATCCACGCATCGAGGGAGGCACGCGGCATGAATATTAACAGAGCAACGTCTTGTTGCGAATAATTGTGTAGTATATATCGTAAGCCGCGAGGTGTACCAGAGATAAAATCGAATAAAAGTAATTGAAATTTGAATACGTGTTGTGAGTAGCTATATATAAAAACACGGTATGCGCACGTATCGTCGCCAAGTGTGTTTTATACGCGCTGAAGATTGCAAATATATCGCGATACACAAGTAAATCCTCAGTCTGCAATTGACAAAGCTCGCTTTGCTCACTGCCGCGCAGTTCACGCACATAGAGTCGTGTTGTTGCATGCTGTGATCGCGCGCGCGTGCGGACCAGACGGAGGCCGGACACTTGGCCTCTCGCGTTTCGTTCGACTTCTCTTCTTCCAATAGTAAATGAGTTTTGACCGCGCGTGTATGTATACAATAGGCTCTCTCCGCGCGGCGAGGTGTAAGTAGCAGAAACGATTTTCACGAGCGTATACGTCAGTTTCGTTCTGATTCTGTTGTGGTACACGTTCGACGTATAACGTTTATTACGCTCAGGGAGCTGTGCAATACACGTATTATAAAGGAATACGCGTAGATACAAGTAGATACTCCTTATTCCACATGAACAATCGTCGATTTTCGATACATATATAATGGGAACACGTCAAAGACAGGTGAGATAACGTGTGTGCGTGTATGCATTTGTGTTTACTCGCGATAAAAACGTGTTTGATTTTCTCTCCAAATTTTTCCTCGAGTTTAAGTGTATGTTTTTAGAGATTCCGTTCGTCAATATTGATTGTGCTATGCAATTTTTCGATAACCGAAACAAAAATCGAGGTACCCAATGATTTTTTTCAATAATCGCCGATCGTCTTCATACGGCTCTCTTGACTCGCGATCTGCACAATTAATAATTTTAACATGACGTCTAATTCTGCAGATTTAGTGAGTCAAATCAAAATTTAAGTTTGAATTTTACGTTTTTAATATTTTCTCTTTTGCTCACATTACAAAAACATTTATATTTTATATCACAAATATATTATTTAAATAAAAAATCAATCATTTCCAGACAAACAATTTTCATTAATTCATCTATATTCTATCATTCCAGGTAAACAAGCCTCAAAGTAATGCAAACAACCAAAACCAGGATAATAAACCAAACAAGTCAGACAGCACAAGCAAAATGTACAGGCACAAACATTACACTAAGAAAAAGCTGGCCATGTATTCATTGACGGTTGCATGTGCTCTATTACTTGTAGTTTACATAGGCCTTGCAAACGATGTCAATGCATTTCAGCTTGGTAACAGAGCCATAGATAATTTAGCTTTTTCTCTTAATCTGCACACACCATTTTATGTGGTCATTATTGATGCTGGTTCAACAGCAAGTCGTGTTATTGCTTTCACATTTCATAGATCAGTATTAAATGGACAAATACAGTTAGATGATGAATTATTTTATGAAATCAAACCTGGACTAAGTGCCTATGCTAAGAATCCAAAGGGTGTTGAAAAATCATTGAATGCACTGTTAGAAAAAGCAAAAACAAGAATTCCTAAAACAGAGTGGTCAAAAACTCCGTTGAGTATGAGAGCAACGGCTGGTCTTAGGCTTCTTCCTGATCATGAAGCAAATCAAATTTTGGAAGAAGCCAAAAAAGTATTTGATCTCTCTGGATTTCAACTTAGCAAAGATTCTGTAGATATTATGGACGGCTCAGACGAAGGCATATTTTCATGGTTTACAGTAAATTTCTTACTTGACAAATTTATAAGCTCTGGTAGCAATGAAGATTATTCAATTAAAACTGTTGCTGCGCTAGATCTTGGCGGTGGCTCAACTCAAGTAACGTTTGCGATTACTCCAAAAATGATTGAAAATCAATCAAAAGAATTGGAGATGCACAAAAAAAATATTTATAACATAAATGCCCTTGACAGAAATATAAGTATATTGACCCAAAGTTTTCTAGGAATGGGACTTATGGCAGCCAGAAAGTCTATTTTAACTCATTCCGACAATCATCCTAATAAAACTGCTCCTGAAAATGTTGACTCAGACAGTATCAAATTACATTCTGAGTGCATAAATCCTATTATTTCTGGAGCTGAGTGGAATTATGGTGGTAAAAAGTACAAAATTTATGGACCAGTTAATGGAGACCATAAAGTTGTAAAAAGCCAGATTAATAGTAATATTGAAGAAGATAGGCCTATAGTAAGATTTCCCACATGCCTGGGAATCATCAAAAAAGTTGTGAATGACGCCATTCCTCATGATCTTCCAGTTTTGTCAGAACATGAAATTTACGCATTCTCATATTACTATGATAGAGCAACAGAGGTAAGATAAATAAAATATAAAAAAATTAAATATTTGAAAACAGTCATTATGATTATATTACTTTCAGGTTGGATTAATAGATCCATTCATTGGTGGGACTGTAACAGTTGCTGACTTGTATAATGAAGCTTTGAAAAGTTGTGAATACCCCAACACAGATCAGCCTTTCACATGTTTAGATTTATCATTCATATACACATTGCTTCATGATGGTTTTGGTCTTGAAAAAACTACTAAAATAAATGTAATAACTAGAAATTTATTCATAGTATTATTCAATTTTAATAGAACATTTTCTAAAAATACTTATATTTTTCAGATGAAAAAGAAAATCAATGGACATGAATTAAGCTGGGCATTAGGAGCTGCCTTTAATGTTTTACAAACTGCTGTGTAACAAAGATATTTTTTGAATAAAATTTTAGTCTAAATACTATGTGGTGCTGTATTTTTCAGGAAAAATCTTTTGTATTCTTGTGATATAATCCCTCTTTATGTGAAAAAGTAATGTCATTTCAGCTTGGTGAATTTAGGGAATTGTTTACAATTAAGACATGTGATCACAAATTGTTCATACTAATTGTAAGAAACTTACTAATGTTAAAAATGTGCAACTGTTGACATACTAAAGTGCCTTACAAAAACCCACTTGGTGGAACTTCGTGACGTTTATATTTATATTCTTGAACAAAATTAAATATTTTATTAAGTATCACTAAGTTGATGTTTTCTTTTCGTATTCTTGAACCCTGCATATTACTTAAATTAATTTAATTTATTAATAAGTAATAAAAAATTTACAAATTAATTCATGAAAAGTTAAGTGCTTCGTTTATTAAACTGAACCAACACATATATTAATTTTGAGATCTGATTCAACTTCATATCACAAATATACGTTGAATACACCGAGACGAAGCGCCGGTTTTCTTATCGTAAATGTCACGTCTCAAAGAACAAACTTGATTGAAAGAATTATTAGTGAAATTCGTGATACATGTCATAGTATATTTTATTTAATCTTCCGAGAAGAATTAACGTTATAGTGTCTTTAACTCTTAATTATTTATGCTTGATAATAATAATTTTTATTTATTAATTTTACTCTTTTTTGTATTGGGTAATTTTTTTTATAAAGAAGATATAATTGCTTTTTTACAAGACTTTCATGTAAAAAAAATGTATAATTATTGTCAAATCGGCCTATTACAGCCTATAGTAATCAAAGCTTAAAATCGTACCTTTCAAGTTAGAATGAGGATAAAATATTTTCAATTACAAGTAAATTTGTACTGCAGGTCGATCGTATGTTTTTTCGCACTGAAATAGATCTTTATTTGATTTTGATAATCGTCTCGAGATAAAGTAAGATAATATCCGTTACGTGTAAACATAAACTTATCACTATTTTTATAAAAGGACATGCATTTTAAACGAGTTTGAAAAAAGTTATATCACCAATTGCACTCGCGCGAAAAGTCGATTGGAAATTTGCATTTAGCTCGTTGAAAATCAAGTGGAAACACCTACTCGTGGTTACAACAACATCTTGGTGTTTGCGAAACTTCTTGACAGACTCCGTAGTCTAATCTATTCGCTTCTTGATTGGTAACGAATTTCGTAATCACGCGAGCGATTGGTCGTTTCGCGTTGTATGTAAAAGCGCTCGCAACAGATAACACATAAGCATAATAGAGAAAAAAGATGCACGAAGAGACTTGGAAGAGGAGAACTTACGCGTAACAACAATGACGACCTTGCCAGGCCTCTCGCTCGATGCACCTAATATAAGTACTTGAAAGATTTACGTCTGACAAAAATTAGACACGCTCTGAATATTGATGTAAAGGATAAGTCATTTTTATTTACAGGATTATGAAATTTTATTCAAATCATTTTATACATCGTGAACAGTATCATACTAAACTTATGAGCTAATGAATCATACAAAGCCTATTATTTAAGGCATGGTTTTTTGTAATAATCAATTCATGATCATCGATTTTTCTTTACATTTTTTTCTGTTACAATATTTGATATTAGAACTTAACTATCCTGTAGATAAAACAGTGATTTTTCATCTACGCTGTTATATTTTACTGTACAATTAGTTACTGAGATAATAAATCTTATTATCCTTCACGAAGTTAATGAAAAATTTCTTCATTTAATTTTTTAAATAGCTAAAATCAGACATAATTTTACATTATTACATTTATAAGAGTTCTCATCAAAAGAAAAAGACTATAAATTCAACATTGAATCTCAATGTTTTTTTTATTAAAGATAATTATTTTACCTTTAATATCACTCGCAAATGTACATACACTTAAAACTAATAATTTTTATACACATTCCAAGGTATTTTTGGAAAATTTGTGAGCTTTGCTTTAAAAAAGAAGCTTGAATATTTAAAACAGTATGTTACCTAAACGATTGCGCGAATTTTAACGTAATTTTTGTCGAAGTAAATTACTTCAACAGTAACTATACTAATCTTTTTTTGTCCAAGTAAACTTGGCTCTCATCTCTGTTAAATCTGGAGTTGGTGCCAGACCACTCGGGATCATCTTCTTTTTGGGATGAGAAAATGGACATCCTGGTTTCATACAGTAAGGATGATACTTGCAAAGCTTTGGTGGATGTGAAAATTTGCACCCCAGTTTTGTACAAGCTATGCCAAATTTACAGTTTGGATGCTTATAAGAGCACTTATCACCAAACTTACAGTTGGGAAAAGAACTGCACAATACTGGTGGATGAACATAGGCACACTTTGAGCCCAATGTGCAAGTTGGCCAATACCTGCACTGTTCAGTGGTTTTTGTCGTGGCTACAGTTTTTATAACTGAACTAACAATTGGTCGTTTATCAAGTCCTGTAACAAAATTATAATTAATATCTAGTTCTTAATAATAAAGTTATATTGATATAAAAATTTAAAAATGATTATAAACTTACGTAATCCGGCAGGTACAGAATTACCAGCTTGAGGTCTAGACAAAGTACTGTATGGATGGTGTCTTGAAATTTTTGGACTTTTCGAGCGTGATCTATTAAAAACAATTGGACTAACATTTTTCCTTTTTCTTGAATAAGGATCTTCGGCAGTTGAATAATTTAGGTAATTAGTGTGGTTTGAAGCAATAAACTGCTGCAGAATAGGATTCGTGTTTGTTTCTACATAGCTTATGACGTTTGTGGCAGGCTGGTGCATCGTTTGCCCTGTAGTATCAATTGTATTGATTGCATACTCGGGTTCTTTAATAGAATCATCAACTGATTGTATGCTCTGACTTGATTGATGATATTTGTAAGAATCTTCTCTCTCACAGCTCTTTTTATCACGATTTGTTAATTTTGAATCTTTGGACTTCTTTTCAGGAGTATAAGAACGTTTTTTATGCTTATGTTTCTTGGACTTAGATTCAGTTTCTACTTTTGATCCTGATTTTTGACGGTCAATTTCGCAGTCTATGATGACTTCATCATTTTCGTCATTGAAGTCATATTGCTCACATGGGACATAAGGAAAAGTCCAATCTTCATCATCATCGTCATCTAGTAATTCAATGCATGGTTCATCTTCTATAGGTTTATCGTCAGGACTATTATTGTTTAAACCATTCATTGTAACTACAAACTTTTGTTTATTGTCACTTCTTTTAAATAAAGATTTCACTAAACTTAAACTTTCATCAGGACTATCTGGAGATTCATTTCTTCTAGTGGATTTCAATTTTTTTTTATTTTTTAGTTCAACTTTAATTTTATCTGCTGCTGAACGTTTTTTTTTGTTAAGATTAATTGAAACAATTTGTCCTCCACGTCTTTCACGAGTTATTTTGGACTTTTTGAGTACTCTTTTTTCCTTAAGACAAGGATCTGGTTGTTTTCGCAAAACTACTGATTTATTAGCTTCAGCTACAGCTTTAAAAAGTAATGATTGAGTTGCCCTTTTTTGAGATGGTTGTAGGGGCTGTAGTGGTCTTGGCGTTACTATTATTTTACTTGGAACTTTACATTGGTCATCATCTTCTTCTTCAAACATAGATTCATCTTCTTCAGATCCAGTATACATTTTACTTTTTAATGTGCTTGACTTTGGAGGAATAATATTTGATCGAAGAGAATTCATTTTCTCAGATTCAGAAATGTTACTAATAACATCTTCCTCTTCAAATGTATCGTTTTGAGCAAGTTTGAATAATCTTGATTCTATGCTTGTAATGACTTTACTATCCTTTGTTTTTTTTCCAAGGCGGCTTTTAATATTGCTTGTAGGACGATTATCAATAACTTTACTGGAAATTGAACTTTTTACCACAGGTGATTTTTCTCTTCTATGATTAATAATAGTACCTAATCTTGATTTGATTGTACTAGGTCTATTTGTTGATGATCTTGTCTTTTCTTGTTCATCATCACTCTTATTAAATTTATTACGACTATTATCATCACATGAGTTCAAGACTGAATTTGACTCTTTATGGTGATGTCTCTTTTTGTCTACTGTATCATTTTGATTACTTGTTTGACTAAAGAGTTCTTTGCGTTTTGACTCTTGATGATTTCTGCTTGTTGAAGAGCTATGACTATCAGAATGAAATTTAACAGGAGAATACTTCTTGTTTAAATCAACTCTAGATTTAACAGAAACAACAGAAGTAATTCTTGGTTTAATAACTGCTGATTTAAGTCGAACATCATCTTTGGCTGGTACATTGCTATAATTTTTAGAGCGTTTAGAAACCGGGCTATCATCATCTGTTTCTTCATTAGATGAATGTGATGAATTTTTTGTTCTTTTTCTAGAATCGATTTTATTTTTTTCAGGTATTAAAGCAGTAATACTGGCATCTACTGGTCTAGGAGGAGTACAAGATTCTTCTGTAGATTTATTTGTTACAGCAGTAGAACTAGAAACATCTTGTTTTTCCAATTGTTTTGAATTGCTGTTTGACTTATCTGGGCTTGAATGATTTTCAGCTTTATTATTTTCTTTTGATTGCGTTTTATCAGCTGCTTCACTCAAAAAAGTTAAGTCTCCAACAAGCTCATCAAATTCCGCATCTCTTTCAACTTTTGTTTTGGGTTTTGATGGACTTTCAGTTTTTTCAGATTTGACTTTTTCTTTATCAGCTTCTGATTTGACTTGTGCAACTGCAGAATCTTTATTATTTTTCTCTTTCTTTTTACTGACGGTAACTTTTTGTAATTTTTTCAATACTTGATCATGCAACCAATCCACAAATTGTCCAGTTGAACTTTCCAAGAACAAACTCAAGTCTTCGTTCATCTGTTCTCTAGTTTTTTTGTTAACAACCATTACTAATATATAATCTGGTAATTCATCATCATAACGTACTTCAAGCTCAAGTAGTTTTGCTCGAATGGCACTCTGAAAAATGGTTAAAAAACAAATTTGGTTAGTCTGATTGCTGCTTTAAAATGAATGATTTTATTTAACTAATCATACACGTTTTGATCATTCAACGAGATAATTAGTATTGTGTTGGAAAATCAATGATTCAAAGAAATTATAGCAGAAAAAGGAGTTGAAAAATTATTGATGTTATAGACACATGAATTTAATAAATACTAGACGAATGTTAAATGTCTTAGGAGTAAAAAATTTGACATACTTTTGAAAAAATTATACAAAACATAGGATACAAAAGCTGACAGATAAAGGTTGATGCAAAGGTCGAATACATCTTAATTTAATGATTTGTTAATTACTTACTCTCAATTGGTTGGTAACTTCAACACCTCGTATATCCATTTTTATAACCTCACTTTTTTGGATCAAATTAATAGCTCAAGATAATTAAGTTGCCCACGCAAAAAAGAACTCGATCACTAGTCCAGGCACTACAAAAAAACTGTTATAAATCCTTTTCGACGAGAGTCAATAAATGTGTCCGTCGAGGCCAGACTAACGTCTCATCGCCTTGTTTATGATGGATCTTTTATCTAACACACACAAAACTGAATTGTCTGCACTCTGCAGTCACGATTATATAGGTTTTGTGTACTTGCACAGTATCAACTGGAACTGGAATGTATGGCACGAGCTGCAACGTCGTCAGTCAGGAGCTTAACGCACAGGACACACGAATAATGCGGCGGTGTGTGTATATATACCGTAAATCAATGCGTCCTCTAATGCTTACGATCCACAAATGACTCTCTGGTGCGACTGAGACCAGGCACGATACGACCTACTCTCAGGTGGGGGTGGGGGAAACCGAGCACGCGGACGGCAGACGGTGGACTCCACTATTATAGATCGACACGGCGGTGTAGCCTACTTAAAGCGCGAGGAGGGAAATTCAAAATGCATCGATACATGTTTGCACGTATTTAAATATGTTTATGTTTTGATAAATAAAAATAGAGTAAAATCATTGATCGAACATCGTCTAGTTTTTGAACTATGTTAAATCAATTGCTTTTTAAAAAATAACGCAAAATTATATTTATCGTAAGTTTTCATATCGTCACGCAGAACAGACACGTGAGCCAGCAGTCACTGAACGTCGATCGCGCGTCTCGATACTGTCACACACGACCAAACGCGATGCGCATTAGACTGTCTGAGCATAGTTTTCATCGACAGGTATTCTTGTAAACGTAATAGTGCAACATTGCATTCTGCTAGAAGCGAAATCTTCTGGTAATACGAGCTGCTTTTTCACATAAAAGTACGTATACATTGCCCTTTAAATAATAGAATTGACAAGATGAGCTTGCATTTTCCGACTCAGTCAAACGTATCGATTGAAATTTTTTTTTTTATGCTATTTAATAATTATCCGTCAGAACGTTTTATAATAACAATTGATTTGTATTTCAAGAGTTATTAACAAAATTGACATCGGTGTTACTGTGCTTTTTATTCCTCTATCAACGTGTATAGATACATTGTGTAATATAAGTGACGTTTTATTTGATTTTATAGTCAACTGCGAATAAAGTTTCGAGCTCTCACGCAATTGCGGCGCACACACACACACACTGTTACCCTTGGCTGTCAACGCTTAGAGCAGCACACGAATCGAGCCCAGTTCTGTTTGTAAGTCATGGCGGGTGTCATCGTGCGCACTTTATCGGTGCCAAAGAGACAGCTGGGTGAGTCGTTTATTTGTTTTTCATTCATTGTATTACTGCCCAGATTAAAAATGCTACTTCTCAATTTCGAGAGTAGCCAGAGATAACAATAATTTGCAATAGTATTTTCTAAATTTGCCTTTTTATTCCAAATTACATAACCTTTTGCAATATTTTATTCAGGTCTCTTGGGCCAGTTGGTTAACAATCAACAATCAAGAAGTTATGCTGATGCTGCTCCAGAAGGCAAGGTAAGGCTTACAACGTTTTTTTTGTTGCATTGCATGACATCATGAAAATGATATTTCATAGTAGAGGTTAACAACAGTTCATACAGTTTTGTTAAAAACAAGTCATATTTATTGCAAATTGCATGTTATATTGCAGAAAGTGGGTGGTCCACTTGCAGATGAAGACCGCATCTTCACAAATTTATACGGTAGACATGACTGGCGGCTAAAAGGTGCAATGAAGAGAGGTGATTGGTACAAAACAAAGGAGATTGTTGAGAAAGGTGCAGATTGGATCATCAATGAAATTAAAGTTTCTGGCTTACGTGGCCGAGGTGGTGCTGGATTTCCATCTGGTATGAAATGGTCTTTCATGAACAAGCCATCTGATGGAAGACCAAAATATCTTGTAATTAATGGAGATGAAGGAGAACCTGGAACTTGTAAAGATCGTGAAATTTTGCGTCACGATCCACACAAACTCATTGAAGGTTGTTTGATTGCTGGCAGAGCTATGGGAGCTTGTGCAGCTTACATTTATATTCGTGGAGAGTTTTATAATGAAGCCTCCAATACTCAAGTTGCTATTGCTGAAGCTTACCAAGCTGGTTTGCTTGGAAAGAATGCCTGTGGATCTGGCTATGATTTTGATGTGTTTGTACAAAGAGGTGCAGGTGCCTATATTTGTGGTGAAGAAACAGCTTTGATTGAATCAATTGAAGGAAAGCAAGGAAAACCACGTCTGAAGCCACCTTTCCCAGCTGATGTTGGTTTATTTGGTTGTCCTACAACTGTCACTAATGTTGAAACAGTTGCAGTTGCACCAGTGAGTAATTCATAATTTAAACTATTCTTTAATTTGCATTATTTTATGAAGCTAACTTTTATGGTGTCATCTGTTTTCATTAGACAATCTGCCGTCGTGGTGGATCATGGTTTGGAGCTTTGGGTAGACCAAGGAATAGTGGAACAAAGTTATATAACATCTCAGGTCATGTTAACACCCCTTGTACAGTAGAAGAAGAAATGTCTATTCCATTGAAAGAACTGATTGAAAGACACGCTGGCGGAGTTATAGGAGGTTGGGATAACCTTTTGGGTATCATTCCAGGAGGTTCTTCTACTCCTGTCATTCCAAAACAGTAAGTTTACAATATGAAATTTTTTCTCTATGAAAAAATAAATTTAACATTGAACTTATTTTTAGCATTTGTGACACTGTTCTTATGGATTACGATGACCTTGTACGAGTCCAGAGTTCATTTGGAACAGCAGCTGTTATTGTTATGAATAAACAAACAGATATTATTAAAGCTATTGCACGTCTCATAAGCTTCTACAAACATGAGTCCTGTGGCCAGTGCACACCTTGCAGAGAGGGCATTGCCTGGATGTACAAAATAATGCAGCGGTAAGCAAGTCCACCATAATATCATTGTCAAACAACATAAAACTATTTGAATTCAGATGAAATAAAACCAAAAATTTACTATTTTTTTTGCACAGATTTGTCCAAGGAAACGCAGAAGTACACGAGATCGACATGCTGTGGGAGCTAACCAAGCAAATTGAATTACACACAATTTGCGCGCTTGCTGATGGTGCAGCTTGGCCAGTTCAAGGACTCATCAGACATTTTAGACCTGAAATAGAATCTAGGATTAAGAACTTTAAGGGTCAGAAGGTTGCCGTTACGCGTTAAATAGATAAAGTTGGAATACATTATAAGTGTGGAATTTTTTCACATAAATTACTGTATGTACATAGATAGACCGCTTAAAGTTCTTTGCCAGTCGTAACTCGTAAAATACATCAAAGTTTTCTCTACTGACGATTTCTATTTCATCTATCGAAGCAGTATTTAATTGAAAAACACATACGATTTGCACTGAATTAAAATTTTTTTGTTGTAAAGATATATTTAAATTATAAAAACGATTACATCGGCGTAATTAGATTCAATCGGCGTTTAATAAATATCACATTTTAAAATTACAAATTATGTTTTTATTAACCAGCATATCTATTTCTGCAAGATTAAACATTACGACTCAAAGAACCTTGAACTTGTTGAACGTAGAGATCGTTACCCTCATACATCCACAATTAAATGCGAGGGATTCTCAACGTAGTATTTCCAAAGATTTGAAAATTTAGCCATGGTCACTCCGTCTATTACTCGATGATCAGCTGCCCAGCTGACGGTCAAAATGTTGGCAGCCACCACGTTATCGTCCTCATCGAAGCGAGGTAGTCGTTGAATTTTGCCAACCGCGCCGATGGCCACCTGGGGCGACATGATAACCGGTTTTGTATAGGTACCACCAACCTGCGAGACAAAATACATCAATTACATCAATGAATTCCAAGACTCGATCTTCCAAAAAGTCATGAAAAGAGTGATCAACTAACAATTCCGATGTTGGACAGTGAAAATGTACCGGACACGAGATCGGCCGGCGGTATGGCCGCCCTCTTGCCGAGCTCCTGCAGCCTATTGAGCTCCGCGGCAAGCTCGCGTATGCCGAGGTTCTGCACGTTCTTGATGTTGGGCACGACGAGCCCACCGGGCGTGTCCATCGCCAGGGAGATGTTGTGCTCGGGCCTGACCTGCACCGACTCCCGCTCGGTGTCGAGCCAGCCGTTGAGCTCGGGATAGCTGCGCAGCGCCTGCGAGATGGCCTTGAGAAAGAAGGGCATGTAGGACAGGCCGAGGCCGTGGCGCTCGCGGAACGCCGGCCGCAGCTCGGCGCGCAGTGCCACGAGCTTGCTGACGTCGCACTCGTCGCTGTAGACGAAGTGCGGTATCGACTGCAAAAGTATAAAGAAAGTATAGTTATTATAAGAGGGTTGAGGAGAATCGATTGTTTGTATGGACTATAGTAAACGACGCGCACAGGCAACTTGGCGACGCACAAATAACAACATAGGTAAAGATCCGTAAACAGCTCGGATTGCCGGTACAAAGACTCTATACGATGCTACCTTGACCCGTGGTAGACGACGATTCAAGAGCGCAGCTAATTGATCGGTCTCGATTAGAATACACGATTTACGCGAATATTAAGTATTCAGTACCAGAGACTGCGTCATGGATTTCCACATATGCTTGGCGTATTTCTTCTGTACCGATACCGTAGGTGGACCGGTCGCTGCTGCTGCTGCTGCTGTGGTGGTGTCTCGCGGTTTTTGCTCCGTTGGCGACGACGCGACGATCGACTTGCCTTCCAAATAGGACAGTATGTCCTCTTTCAAGACTCTTCCATCCTTCCCGGTGCTGGGCACCTCGGCGAGATCGACGTTATTCTCGCGGGCGATTCTGCGCACCGCCGGGGTGGCCAGTGATTTCTCCATCGCTCTCTCGGACGTAGTTTGGCTGGTGGCGGCAGCGGCGTCGGTTCGCTCGATCGAGATCGGTTGGGCCGCGATGTCACCCGGGGGTGAGGGCGTCATCGGGGGGACTTGGTCCTCGTCGTCGGCCTCGAGCTCTATGTCGACCAGGGCACTGCCCACGAGGACCGTGTCGTCGATCTTCGAGTGGACCTCCTTGATCACGCCGTCGAAGCGGCTCGTTATCGTTACCGAGGCCTTGTCGCTCTGCACCTCGCAGATGTTTTGGAACTGCTCGACTTTGTCGCCTGGTTTCACGAACCTTTGTGCGAAATGAAACAAAAAGTTCGATTAAAAATAATTGGGCAATGAGACAAGGTAAACACGACAATCGGTTTCTTACCATTCTTTAACCACGACTTCTCGGATGCCCTCTCCGATATCAGCGAGCTTGAACGGAACGACTTTGCCGAGATGCTGGTCCGTCAAAGAGATGAGTCTTGCAGAAAAATTTGTCGAGAATGGCCCGCCTGCCTGAAGATATCGAATACATCATTTCAATTCGATTATAATTTAAAATTTTTTATGAATTTTAGTTCGAACTAATTATTAGCCGGAAACGGATAAGCTCCTAAGTAGATTAACAATCGGTAGCTCATGAACTAAATTATGCCTAATTAACTTTGTAATATTAAGAATATCTTAGAGAACGATTCTATAGAAAAAATCTGTTTAAGCGTCAATTGTCAGACATAACGTCAAACCGATAAAAAGTCACTTTATTTTTAACAATTAATAAACTAACTCATAACCGAATGGCACTCGGCAGCACTACCCACGTAGACGAAGAGAGTAACAAATTAGTTGGCCAACCGGATGTGCACGGGGCATACGTAAAAATCGAAGTTACGAATTGAAGATAAGGCTCCAAAGGTTAGCTGCGACAGCTCTGATCTCGAGTTTATGAGCAGGCCACGCGTAACGCTTCGAATCAATAAACATTATGTCTTATTAAGTAATTTACCAGTGCGGCAAGCGGTCTCAATCGCGAGACAAGAGCCATTTTGTCCCTTCGAACACAGGAACTGCTGTCGTTCCTACCGGAAGCTCGTTTTTCTCGCCGAGTCCTATGTGTGTGTGTGTGTGTGTGTGTGTGTGTGTGTGCGTGCGTATGCGTATGCCGGTGCAGAAGAGACGCTGCCTGTTTGTGTATATTAGGCCGGCAGGATGACGAGCTCTGTTATGCGATTCGAGTTTCGATAAAAAAAACTCTTCTCTGATAATAAACAACGTGTGGTCTTGCGCTCGAACGTGCCGCAACGACTGACTTACTTCCATCTCTTTCTCTTTCTTCGTTCCTCATGCAAAGTGTGCGAGCGAAAAAAAACCTCGCGCTCACACACCAGCGCATTATTTTATACACGTTTGTGTGCGAGTACGAGAGTTTGCATGAATAAAAAAGGAACAACAATTCGTTACACTCATACTCGCGCATTCTCTTATATTTGCACGATTCCACGTCTACATACACATGCACTTACGCAATCGGTAGTAGTACATGCGGCTATATAATATATAAACCGCAGCACCGCTGAATGATAACGAGATTCGACGACGACGAGCGGCAGCAGCACAAACACATTTGTGCGCTTATTATTCTTTTTTGTAATCGCGACTAACGCGAACTTTGGGTAAATATATAAATACGCATTAACGCGAGAGCAGCTCTGCTTTGCACACGCAGCGAGAATCGGCTGATGTATTATTTCAGACTTTTATCGCTATTTGTTTGATGCTTTTTTTTAATCGTTTCTCTGCTCTTTCACACGAGTGTGTTGCTCGAATTCATGAAATTATATCAAGGTATTTTTGTATGCGAGCAGTTTTTAGAGAAATCGGTCCTTAATGTTCAAGGATAAATTTGAAATTGAAATTTTCGTCACTTGACGCGGAAAATGGATGTCGACAAAATGGTACTGTTATAATTGTAAATGTTAAACTGTACTGAACAAAATACCATAGAAAAAATTTTTATATTCATAATTCATTTTAAGGGGAGTCATACACCAATTTACCCTCTTTGTCATTTTTTTGATATAAACCACAGTTTAATGTCAATCTACATTTTCTACATAAAATTGACACCTTTGAGCTCTAAAAAATGTGAAAAAATTGCAGAATAGGCCTTTGCATCTAAACGAAGTTCATTTTTGCTATTTTAGCCTTTTGGCACTGTGCGCAAGGTTCAGATCAGAGTTTTTGGGTTGGACGGTCCTGATAGGTCTCAAAATCTTCAGAAAAGTATCCTTTATGGGCTGAGTTTTGTGGAATTTTGATTAAGGCCTCCATATCAGTTCTATTATTCAATGTGTGCTCAAAAACATTGATAACTTTTTTTTATATCTTGCTTTTTTCACATCTTTATTTTTATTAATTTTTATTACTTTTTTGAAGATTTTGAGACCTATCAGGATCTTCCAACCCAAAAACTCTGATCTGAACCTTGCGCACAGTGCCAAAAGGCTAACATAGCAAAAATGAACTTCGTTTAGATGCAAAGGCCTATTCTGCAATTTTTTTCACATTTTTTAGGGCTCAAAGATGTCAATTTTATGTAGAAAATGTAGATTGACATAAAACTGTGGTTTATATCAGAAAAATGTCAAAGAGGAGTGAATTGGTGTATGACTCCCCTTAATTAATTTCTTATAAAAAATGTACTTGTAAATAGCTCAAACAGATTTGAAGTATGCTGTATTAGTTCTGATAGACGTAAATAAGTTGCAAATAAAAGCTTGTAATTGATATAAGGGCGAACGAAGCGCTTGAAATAAGTGACCAGCATTATAAAATTGATATTATGTTGATTCAACGAATGCTTTATTTTCCAGAAGAATTTATTGATTTTTTAAACATAATTTGTACATTAATAAATAACATTAGAGGAATTCATTATACAAACGAAATATTTCAAATTAATCTTCTAACCTGTTCATTAGATTTCATATTTTCATTAAGATGCGTAAGTAATGCGTAAGTAATGCGCTGAATCAATGTTGTCAAATTAGCCTTTATGCGATGTTCATCACACGAACGCAATATCACGGGTATGCCTGACACCACTATGCTTCGTGTTAATGTATAGACTTTAAGATTGGACTTGGCTGAAAATACCTTTATGCGATGCTTTGACATGCCGGTTAAGGTTTTTTGGGAGTGAAAATCTTTTCCCGCAAATATCACATGAATGAGCGACACCCCTGTGCACGGAATTTATGTGGATTTGGAGAGAGCTCTTCCGAGTGAATGCCTTTCCACATATATCACATGAAAATACTCTTCCATTGTGCACCGAATTGATGTGGCTTTTGAGATAATGCTTACTTGGGAATTTTTTTCCGCAAACATCACATGCATATGTGACACCTTTGTGCACGAAATCTATGTTGATTTGGATATAACTTTTTTGAGTAAATGACTTCCCACATGCAATGCATGATGCGTGACACCGTTTTGCACTGAATTGATGCTGGTTTTGAGATAAACTTTTTGTGTGTATATCTTTTCGCAAATATCACATGCATATGTGACACCTTTGGGCATAAAATCGATGTGGTTTTTGAGATTATGATTTTGTGTGTATGTCTTTCCGCACAAATCACATGCGTGTACTTTTTGTACTTGCTGTACTTGTCTGTACTTTTTCGTAATTTACCGATCTCCTTGAATAAAAAAAATCCATTTGCCGAATTTTTAATCTAGATTATTTGGAAGTAACGAATGATGATCATAATTCAAAAGGAAGATTAATCATTTAATAATTGAAACCACAAACACTTTCAAAACAAAGAATTAAAACACTTGCACTACTCGATATATAGTATCAGATTCTCCTCTACAACCCCATCTACTCAATTGTATAATCAATTGATTCAGATTTACACAAAAAGTAATTTAAGCAAAGTTATACGTACACGTACATTTACTCAATAAAAGCGCTGGTTAGGGTACACCGAACAGTTCACAGTTTAAAAAGGAATCGAAAACTTTATAATTAAAAAGTTTATAATTTAATTTTGCAATTTTCTGAACGCGTAGTTGATTGATTCACAGTTTGTATAAGGTGATGCCGAAGCCCCGAATTCGACCGACCGAGCATTAAAAGTGTAAATTTAAATAACTTTTTTACTCGACCTATTTTCCAAAGACAGCTCTGTGGAGCCCTCTGTATTGATGATGTGAGCAACTGTACCCTAAATTTTTTACTGACAAAGTTAAAGTAGTCATTAAAGGACCCTGGGAAGTTAAAAAGGCACCATGTGTCCCGGTTAAATAGGATGAAAATTTTTTTGGTAGTGGATTTTGACCTCCTGAACATAAGTCCTTATGGGCGGTACTCGATCCTGCGAGCCGTTTTCGAGAAAAAAAATTATTAAAGTCACGTCTTTTTGCATTGACCCAACATAATCCCTCTGCACCAGTTGAGCGTCGCGCGCGATCATTCAACGCAACCAATGTCTTTCGCTATATGCACAAATAATGATAAAATAGAGTTGTAACCCGAGAAATGGGATGATTTCACGTAATTTTATCTTCATGATGCTGAATAATAGAAAAAATGAGAAATAAAATTGATTGATATGATTATAAAACTGTGACAGAGAGTACATAACGAAGACACGTTAGGATAGAATATAATTTTTCTCTACCACTTGATTGCAGACGTGATTTTCAGAAAATTCTAATGAATAAAAAAATATCTCGAAGTCTTAAAAATGTAAGCCCTATGTTTAAACTACTATGTATAAGATATTATGATTAAGGTACTATGAATGAATTTTTATGGCATGAAATACTAGAATCGTGGACAAATCAAGTTCAAGTCGATCGCATACATTTTCCAGTAATGTCGACCGGAATGAACGTTTGTTCGAGGTAAACAATAATTTGAGGAAATTCCATGAAAAATAAAGATATCTAGGGGTCTTAAAACGTATCAGGACAGCGTTTGCTACATTGCAATGCTTGGAGATAAAGATATTCATCGTTACCAGCATTTGCAACAAGTCCAAGACTTATAGGCAGAGCGTCCGTCTTACTTTGAATTATTTTCAACGACAATCATCACTTTTTTGTTGGATTATCTTCTGTCCGAATCCATCGCCAACCTTTGCAAGCAATTTCGATAGAAGTATATGTTATTATCAGGTAAAAAAGAATTTTAGAAAATTGCGTGAAAAATTAAGGTATCTAGGAGTCTTAAATATATAACAATCACATTTCAATAATTCTGACGGTCTAGGGGGGCTGAGTAACTTGATCGCCAGCTTTTACAATAGGACCGAGACTTGAGCAGTACGTCTGTCTTACTTTGAATAATTTTTTAACGAAAATCATTACTTTTTTGTTAGATGATCTTCTGTTCGAGTCGATCGCCAACCTTTCCAAGCAATTTCGATAAGAGTAAAAGTTATTATCAGGTAAACAGGAATTTTAGAAAATTGCAAGAAATTGAAAATTAAGACTCCTAGATACCTTAATTTTTCACGCAATTTTCTAAAATTCTTGTTTACCTGATGATAACATATACTTCTATTGCAATTACTTGCAAAAGTTGGCGATTAATTCGAACAGAAGATAATCCAACAAAAAAGAGATGATTGTCGTTAAAAAATTATTCAAAGTAAGACGGACGCGCTGCCTAGGTCTTGAACTTGTTGCAAAAGCTGGTGATCGATGAAAAAATTTATCTCCAACCATTGCAATGTAGCAAACGCTGTCCTGATACGTTTTAAGATCCCTAGATATCCTTATTTTTCATGGAATTTTCTCAAATTATTGTTTACCTAGAACAAACGTTCATTCCGGTCGACATTACTGGAAAATGTATGCGAGCGACTTGAATGTTTGATTTGTCCACGATTCTAGTATTTTATGCCATGAAAATTCATTCAAAGTACCTCAGACATAGGGCTAACATTTTTAAGACTTCCAGATATTTTTTTATTCAAGAGAACTTTCTGAAAATCATGTCTGCAATCAAGTTGTAGAGAAAAATTGTATTCTATTTTAACGCATCTTCGTTATGTACTCTCTGTCACAGTTTTATGATCATATCAATCAATTTTATTTCTCATTTTTTCTATTATTCAGCATCATGAAGATAAAATTACGTGAAATCATCCCATTTCTCGGGTTACAACTCTATTTTATCTTTATTTGTGCATATAGCGAAAGACATTGGTTGCGTTGAATGATCGCGCGCGACGCTCAACTGGTGCAGAGGGATTATGTTGGGTCAA